TTAAATTTAATACAAATTTTTGTTGATATAATAAAATTATTGAAAGTTTTTATATCAAATTCACAATACGCATTAATTTACGTGACAGCTTGTGTTCACATACAATATATAAGTTTGTATTTGAAAATCACTAAAGCACAATTCATATGTTTTGTTGGTTAATTATATACATATACATATATGGATGAAAATTTATTGATTTACTGATTTCAGTAATGAGACATTTTGTAATGATAAAATTATGCAATTGATATTTTACAGAGTAATGAAAAACGGTTATAATTATAATAAGTTCTCTGTAGCTGAATTCAAATCTGACACTATTCAGCGCTCTTGTAACTACGCATGCTTTTATGTATATCGTAAGAATACAATTTGCGCTGTTTTAGTCAAATCAACGACTCTACAATATGAAATGATTATTTTTTACAATGTGAATCTGCAATAGAAATTCCAGATGTATGTAAGAGAATATAGAATGTTGTAGCGATGTAATTTGAACGAAAAAGACAGAAGAAAGAATAAAATCATTTAATAAGAGAAATGTTAATGGAGGCTGTGTTGAACAACAGAGTGCGGTAGTCTCGGCAGGTCGATGGTGCTGTTCGTACCGACGGTCCGTTCGCAGCCGTCTTTGCTTCGCGATGCGTCCACTGATGTGTGTTTCTGCACATGGCCGTGCCGCCCAACGGGCTTCTGCATTGTTCCACGGTTTTTCACACTTTGTTACCGGTAAATGAATCTATTATAATCAAATTTTCCATTTGTAAAATCAAACAATGCACGATCCAGGCCTTAAGCAATACCAAAAGTCTTCTTTTTCTCGATAACTGTAATTAATAAATTGAGACGCGAGTCATGAACGAAATCATATGAATGTTTGGTTCCTAATGTAGACTTCAGATTTCATTTACGTTTTTCGAAATTGTACTGCTTGTCGAATTTTATTGATTCCAATACTAGCCTATACTATCAGAATATAATCAAAGAATATGTTTTCTGAAAATTTTTATGTTGTAATCTGATATTCAAGGACACACAGTGACAAATCGTAATTTCTATACAGTACTATATTTTCCTCGAAATTGTATAATTTTACCATTTTTTTGATCATTCAAAAACGTCTTTAATTGAGAGTTAATGATAAATTTAGTTTTTAATTTTATGATATGACTTTTTCTACATTTGTAACGTTTTTCTTGAGCAATACCTTCTGTTATTACATATTTTTACTTCTTACTATCTGTAAATATAAATGTCTGGCTTTTAAATAATATATTCGATTATTGTAATAGATATAAGTGTTTTTTAATTATCAATTTCGTTATTAAATCTCAGCTATCTTATAGTAATTTTATAGTATTGCACAAGAATAGTAATTTTTGTGTATCGGATTATTG